GAAACCCGAAGCCCCCCCGGCGCCCCCCCCGGCGCTGCCGGCCGGAGGGAGGGAGGGAGGAGCCTGGGGAGGCGGGGAGGGGGGCGGGGCCGAGAGGCGGGGGCGGGGCTTAGCTGCGGGGGCCCAAACCGAGGGGAAAAAGGGAACCTGGCGGCGGCGGCTCCAGCGGGAGATTCGGCCGAAAGCTGCAGGTGCCTCAGCTGAGAAGCGGGGAGGACCTCGAAGGAAGGGGGCCTCTAGGCGGGACGGGTGGCGTATCGAATAAGAGGGTTAGTTGGAAGGGACCCTGGAGGTCTTCTAGTCCAGCCCAGTGCGCAAGCAGGAGGCCCTGTCATTTTAGACAAACGGCACCCACAACTTCAGGAGGGAAGCCGACATTTTACTGATGAATTGTTCTGTCAGGAAATGTCTCCTTCCTTCTAGGCTGCTTCTCTCCTTGGTTAGCTTCCCTGCCTTCAGGTGCTTTGGAGAAGGGGTTGAGCCCCTCTGCTTTGTGGCAGCCCCTCAAATACTGGAGTACTGTCATGTCCCCCCTAGTCTTCTCCTCCTTAAACTAGACACACCTGGCTCCCTCAGCCATTCCCTGGGTGCTTTGGCCTCTAGGCCCCTTACCATCTCTGTTGCTCTTTGCACTCTTTTTTTATTTTTATTTTTTTTAATGTATTTTATTGAATTTCTTTGTACTCTTTCTTGAGTATCAGCATCTTTTTTTTGTATCGTGACCAGAACTGGATACAGAATTCCAGGTGTGGTCTTACCAAGGCAGTATAAAGCGGTAACAATACTTCACGTGATCTTGAGACTAAACCCCTCTGTTGATGTATCCTAGGATTACACTGGCTTTTTTGGCAGCTGCCTCCCACTTCTGGCTCACGGATGATTGTCCACTAGGACTCCAAGATCCCTCTCACAGTGACTGCTGCTGAGCCATCCATACCTGTCCATTTGTTTTTTAAATCCTTACTTTCCTCACCATTGAATTGCCTGGTAATTAAATTTCATTTTTGATGTGTGCCGTTGTGCCCACAGTAAAAAAATGACAATAAAGGTTATCTTATCTATCTTATCTTATCTTATCTTATCTTATCTGTTGTTGGATAGGGCTCAGGGTTCAAATCCGTTGAGATCCTTCTGAATCTTGACTCTATCTTGCTTAGTGTTAGCTGTTCCCCTCAGCTTGGTGTCATCTGCAAATCTGAGGACTTCCCCATCTATATTTTTCTATGTTTCATTTTTTTTCTATGCATTATATAAATGTAATGAATAAAGAAAAAATTGAGGAGTGCCTTGGACCCTGCATCACAGGTAAAAAGAAAGTAAAGAAAAGCTTGCATTTTACCATTGTAAGCAATTTTTTAATTTATTTATATCCTGCCTTCATAATTTTTACAACTAACATATTCCGCACTTTCCTCCTAATTTCCCATAATAACATCCCTGTGAGGTGGGCTGGATTGGCTGTGAATGACTGGCGGAGGGTCACCCAGCCAGCTTTCATGCTTAAAGCAGGACAAGAACAAAGTGGCCTTATCTCTGCCTCAAAAAACTCAGCGGCCAAAGCCTCATTCTTGGAACACAGTAGAACTCGCTTGTTTTTACAAACCGTAGTTAAGTCCGGCAGAAATCTCTGTTGTCAAACTGTAACCTAAATCTTAGCAGTGGCTTCTTGGAAGGGTGAGGGACTGATTTGCCTCAAATGCCCTCTGCCAAGCTGTTTGTGAGTAACCAAAGAGTGCTGAAAGCATTTTAGTGTCCAAAGCCAAAAAGGTTGACTGGTGCTGTTTTGTAAAACAGCAACCGCCATATATCACGTCCTTGCTTGCATGCTGCTTTTTTATGGAGGCTCTACCTGAAAGCCCAGGTGACTCCGACAACTGCTGGGCAGTGGGAGACAGAGGCGATTCCTGTAGTGCAAGGTGGGAGGGAGAGATGTAAGTACTCTAAAGGCTTTGGTGTGAAAACGTTCCTGCACTT